CCTCTCTCCCTCCTTCCCTTCCCATCCCATCCCATCCCATCCCATCCCATCCCATCCCATCCCATCCCATTGTGGTGTGTTTTTGTAATTTTGCTCAGCTGTTACTTATTTTAAGGGTTTTTTGCTCTCTTTTTCCTGTCCTGTGTAGTTTAGGGCTTTTTTTTTTATCATATAGTTTTGTGTGACATACATAAAAGAAACTCACACACACATATATAGATTAGATTTCCTATTCGGATTTAATGGACACTCAGGTCTAACAAATGTTCCTTCCCCCCAATAGCCTGTTGAGAGTTTGCCTGCATTGTTGAAGTTGTTTACAATTCTCAACACTGTCCTTTGTCTTTACTATGTTAACTCTCTTTTTTTTTTAAATAGGGATAATCAGACCAGGCAAATAAGGGAAGCTGTTTCAAATGTGGAAAAACATTTTGGTGAATTATGCCAAATATTTGCAGCATATGTACGAAAAACTGCCAGGCTACGAGACAAAGCAGACCTTTTAGTAAATGAGATACATGCTTATGCAGCTACAGAAACACCAAATTTAAGGCTTGGATTGAAAACTTTTGCAGATGAGTTTTCCAAGCTTCAGGATTATCGCCAAGCAGAGGTATAAATTTACATTCATGCATTTTGCTATAGAAAGTCAATACTCAAATTATGGGTGTTTGTATGTTATGACCATGATAATAAATGAATTGCATTTAAAGCCATTGAAATCTGAATCTAATACTGCACAAAGTAACTTACCCATAAACAGAACTTTCCTATCTTTTGATCATTTCTGATGTAGTCCCTCTCTGATTTTCTCTGGAGTTAATTTTCAGAGGTCATAGAAAATTGAGAGGGGAAGAGAATTAAAAACTTTTTTCAGTATATTAAAAAGAAACCTTAATAAGGGTTTATGGGTTTCAGTTGCATTTCAATTTAATCTGTCACTTTAAAAGATGATAATGGAAAATGAAGAACTAATTGTATTTTAAACTAAGTAATGAGTATACTAATGAACACATCATTAGATTTCTTTATTTCAAAACAAGGTGTTTTTTTCCCCTTCTGCTACTGTTCTCCCCTCTTGATTGTTTTCTACATTCAGGTTTGCTGAAAGTAATGGAAATTTATGCAATGAAAAATTCTAAAATGATTCCTCATTACTTCTTTTTATAGGTAGAAAGACTTGAAGCCAAAGTTGTTGAACCTCTGAAATGTTACGGGACCATCATAAAACTTAAAAGAGTATGTCATAAACTTTGTTTTCTTTTCATGTTTTAAGGTACTTATTTTTCTCTATAAGAACCTGGTGTTTCTAGTCTTTCTTAGTTCAGGTAATCAAATCTTGGAATCTATAAAAAAGCCATGTAATAAAAGTAATTTTTCATACATGGATAGTCAAAGTTGGCAACATCCAGCAAAGCTTTAAAACCCAAAAACACATATTCATTTAACACAGGAAGCCTGTGTTTATAAATAACCATAATTTCATTTGTATATCCAAACCTGCATATAAATATACCAGAATATTAAATCCATTTCAAGCAAAGTTTTGATATCTTAGTATACAATATACTGTTATCTACTATTATGTGGTGATCTTGGGTAAAATAAATAATAGATAACATATACTTGCCAAATTGTTTGCTTGCATCACAAAGAGAGAGTTGTGGACTGCATTCATGAGTAAAAAGGCTTATTCATATTTTGTTATTAAATCAAGACCTAATGGGATGCAATAAGTGCTTTCTTACCGAAATTGCTACCACAAATTGTAACAGCTATCAATTTAGATTGCTTTAAAGTAGGATTAGGCAACACCCATGAAATATATGTCAGTAGCTGCTAATCTCGTAAAGTTGTAACAGTACCTTCTGAATCAGAAGCAATATGCCTCTATATACTAGTAGTTGAGGTCCAATTATGGGAAATAGCTATTGCCCTCATCTATTGTCCTAAGCTTTGGAAAACAGGATGCTGGAAAAATAGTCTTATCTAGTAGATCTCTTCTACGTCATACGTAATTATACACCAATTTTAATTTAATTCTTCAGGTAATTCACATATTTCTTAAGAAAAAGATTGAAATACAGACAGTCCTCTACTTACAAACAGGTTATGTTTCAGGAGGCTGTTCATAAGTCCAACCAAGTATAAAATGCTCAGCCTCCTAATGTGTGATGATGCTGCCAAGCATACATATGCAGCACACTGTAAACTAATCCTTTCCCGCTTTCCGGGACCTTCTAGGTTGGAGTTGCAGACAGGTTTGTTCATATCGGCGAAAGTTCATAACTCGAAAGTTTGTAAGTAGAGGACTGTATTTTTAAAATAATTGTAAATCAACTAACAAGGCAGTAAAACAGCACTAATGCAGTAACAAAGTTCATGAAAGCTAAAAGCAGTTTAGGAAAGACGGTATTTGTACTCAGATGTTAAGTAGACCTGAATCCATGCTTCTATTATGAAGATATCTTTTCCTTATCTCATATAGCGGAAGCATTTGTATGGAGAAAAGTGATCCTTAAAAAATCAGGTTGTATGCTGCAGAGGCTTTAAAAGTTAGGTTCTGAAATCAGACTAGGAGCCACTGCAACTGATACAGCATTGTACATTGTCAAATCCCAAGTATTAACTTTATAGGTGCATTCTGAACTGCAGTTTCCAAACCATCTCCAGAAGACAGTATAAAATAGAATAATTGTCTTTTAATATAACAGTATCAGCCTGGTTCAGAGTTATGCTTTACAGTACAAACAAATTTGTAAACAATGAAACTTAGCTGATTTCTTTTTGAGAAGTGAAAATGCCTTTATTCCCACAATTACAGCTGTTGTACATATGCATGACACAGTTTGTTTCTGGGAAAATCACTTAATTTCCTTTAAAATATTAAGATCTATTGGAGTTGCGCATTGTTATCTCCTTACTATCTCTGAATAGGGAGTTTCAAATTGCCATCATGATTAATAACTGATCTATTTTTCATGACTAGTACTGCATATGAGATCTTAAATAATAGCAATTTTAGAAGTAGAAATGTTCTATTTATTTTTTAAAATCTGCTTTTTTGGAGCTTAACATATGTTTTTATAAAAATGAGCATCCTTGTTTTGATTTTTTTAGTATAATGTTGTTCAGAATATGGAAATCATTGTTTTTTACAAATAAAACTAAAATCTAACTTATGTCAATACTGTGTAATTCCTTTTAATTGGAAACTCTGCATTCTCATTACAGAAGATATTTATTTTCTGATTTCTTCTGTATTAAACATGTAATAGTAAAAAATTGAGAATAAAACTGACTCTATTTTACCCTACAGCAATTCTTAAAAAATGGGGGGAAATACTTTATTTAAAAGCAGTAACCTCTGCTTTTGTTGTATAATTTAATCAATAGCCTAAGCAAATGCCCTGGAATTCCACAAAAACTTAAATGATCAGAAACCTCTTTTTAAAATTTATACTTTTTCAAAATATCTATATGTTTACAGGAGGATCTCAAAGCAACTTTAACAGCAAAGAACAGAGAAGCAAAACAGTTATCTCAGCTTGAAAGGACCCGTCAACGAAATCCGTCTGATCGGCACATTATTGTATCCTTTGCATGCACACCTATTTTAACAACTTATTTATTTGCAATAGCTAAATTGTTGAAAAAGATTGTGTACATGTAAAAAAATCTTGTAAATTTCTTTTACATTCTCTTTTCCTGAAATACTTTTAGTTGACAAGTAGCTACATTGGTTATTCAGCAATTAAAAAGTAATTACCCGCTCATGGAATTCTTGAGGGGAAGATGTACTCTTTTTCTTTGGTCCCTAATTTGTTATAGCTTCAAGATTTACTAAAAACAAAAACCCATCAATAATGGTTGTCTAATAAACTAGAAGCTCAATAAGTTGTTATACAGAAAGGATTGTTTAAATATCAGAAATACTTTTTTAGTATTTTCTATAACTTGGAAATTTTTCCTTTACTGTTGACCAGTCACAGGTGAGTCTTTCATCTGAAGTGAAGTAACAGCTTAAATCTATTGATAATTATGGTTTTTCTTATTTATAACTCAGTTTACATCATAGCTTTCCACCATTACAGATAAAAATAAATTATATACACCTACAGATACTAAGATCCGTAATAGATGTCCTTTGGAAGGCCAAAAAATCAACTCTGATAGCATCTTATCCAACTAACATACTGTATTAAAATTCATAAGCTAGCTAGCTAGATTGATTCTTTATTAAGGTTAATGGCTAGTCCATAAAACACATTGCATATATAAAACTAATATAAATTAGGTAAGCAAGTCATCCAAACCGCTGTACATCTTATATATTACATGATAGAACTTGGCCACACTTAAAGAAATATAATCATTTAAGTCCGAAAGTAATAGTTGTAAATAAAACTGATCAGAATGACCAGGGGACTGAGTTAGGAGTGGGGTTAACAGTTTATGGTGGGTGTCAGCATAAAATGAACCTTCTAAGAAGGCATATCTGATAGTTTCAGTGACTCCTTCACCACATGGGCACACTCTAGATTTGAATGGAATGCTCTTATGATATTTTAATTCTAATGTTTTATTGTTATCCTTCTTAAAGATGTGAAAGTGAGGTATCTGTAGTATAAGTAAATAAAAATAAACATTAAATAAAACTCAAAATATTAAGAAAAAGATTACCCCTAAGATTAAAAACTACTACAGCAGCAAATCAGCTTAAATGTCATAAAACCCTTGAATTAAAATGTCTTAAGAGTGAAAAACTGAAAGAACAGTTGTGCTTTATAAGGACATCCATTACAAATAGTTACATTTCCAGTAAATATTTCTAAGATACAGTTGAGAAAAATAGAAACCTTTTTCCCACCTGTATTCTTAGAAATGTTTAGAAACATTTCTCTCAAGGATCCTAAAGCTACAGCAGGCTCATGGAAAAATTGTGTGTCCCAGTTCCAGTAGGGATTGTTTATAATTACATTTGTTAGTGCCTGGGAAGGATCTGAATAAAAGGTAGCTGTTTTAAAAAGGCAGTAACATGTTCCATGTAATTGATAGTGCAGTATTTTGGATCAGTTTGAATTTTTAATGATTGTCCCATGTACAGCACACTTCAATAGTCCAAATAAGACAAGCATCTGCGCTGTAGCCATATTTGACAGTTCAGATAAGACAATATTCCTGGGGTGCAAATAATCTGGCCACTATTAACATTGGACTTCCAAGTTAATATCCAAATTGCAAAGTTGTTGCTTCAAAAGAAGTTAATTTAGCAATGTTGAATACTATTTATCAACCTCTTCTTGATCCGAAGTGCCTCTATCTTGAATGAAGCAAACTTCATTGTATTTGTATTTATCAATTTCATTACTAAGTAATATTCTGATTTATGACTTAAACAGCTTTCTAGGAATTAGATAGAGTGTCAACCAGTTCCAAAATTTTGGATGACCTCTCACAACATTTTCACATATGCGTTCAGTATCATGAGGGACAAGCTGAAACTGATGAACACAAGTCAATACCTATGGCCTCAAAAGGACTTCTAATTTCTTATCCACAGTAACAGTATCAAAGAGGATCAGAGTAAAGTATCAGCCTGAATTATACACAAATTCTTGTGAAACTATAGATATATGATTTATAAAAATAAGTCACTGTCTTACTAATGTAAAGAAGGTGGTTCTTTTCAGACATTCCACCATTCCCTTCCTTGTACATTTGTGTGCTGTAGTGGTTTACACTTATTAGTCAAACAAAACATTTAGTTTTTAAAGAATTTGTAAACAGTATGGGCTGATATTTTAGTCTGATCCTCTTTGATATCAAGCAAGACTTGCCTAGCACCAACTTCAAAAACCCCCCAACAAAAAAACAGCTGCCTTAAAACAGTGCCTCCTTCTCCACTCTGCCAGGCTGTCTCCAAAAAATGCCATGGTTGATGATACTGGAAGCTGCTGAGAGGTCCGGCTTTCAGCAGAGATTGACCAGGAAAGCAACCAAGGTTCTCTCCACCCCATAACCAGTATTTAAGCCAAATGGCTCATCCTATCCAGAAGAGATTAGCACTGAGAATTTATTATCCCAGCAGCTTGCCCAGTATGGTGGGCTTAAGGACCTCACCTTTATCTTTTTCAGCATATATTCTAAACATTCACCTTATTTTTGGGGTGTGAAAATTTAGGTAAACCATGTGTTGGTTTTGCCTTCTTTCACTTTTCCCTCTATTTAATATACAGCAAGAACTAACATTGCCATGCCTTAAAGATCAGGTGCCTTCATCAAAATGACAAACGCAACATTCATTCATTCATTTTTCAAATTTGTCACTGCCCATCTCACTGCAGTGACTCATCATGCTACTGCAACACAAACTCTGCCTCTTTCATACATGAGTGGGATATCACAACCCATATGCAAAAAGGGATACACTTGTGTTGTAACAGTGCAATGCTTTCATCATTTGACTCCACCTGTGGATCCCTGTTAATTTCAGTGTCTTTTCTTTTTTAATAACAAATCTTGAGTTGCATCTGTGATCCCTAATGACCTTTTTGAAATTACCAATATTTATGTTCTCTAACATGTCTCACCTCTATCCTTATTTAGATCATTCTGCTTTTACATCTCTTTAGAACAGCCATATTTCAAACTAGCTCCATTTAAATATACTCCCATAATCTCTTCATGACATTTTGGTTCTAAACTGTTGATATCAGTGCTATCTGTACAACTACTTGTTTTCTGAATTTTCAGTTCATCAGTTTTCAAAATTATTTACTGTAGAGCTTCCACACTCTATTCTTAAGAGAACTCCAGGATGAATTCCCCTTTCAGCTAGCATTCATGTTATGAAATAATACGTATCAAAAGCAAACAATTTGATTAAGAAATGGCAGCTTTTCCGATTGTGCTAATCCTGAATAAATGTGTGACAATATACTGGTGTAGGCAAAAATATTCCACTCAATAGAAGTTTTGCAATTACTGCTCCGTCTTCAGGATCTTTCACACTTACCTGATATAGGTCAGTTATCTTAAACAGCAGTGAAACATTAGATTTGCTTTGTATTTTGTACTTTTCCAAATTGTGGGAAAATGCATGTTAATTTACTTAGAATATCCTATCTAGGGGCTACAACTATAGCAGTTTGTTCTGTCAGGCAGTTTATCTAATAACTTTTAAATAGAACATTGGAAAACATCTGTTTGAGGAAAAAAATCATTGTATTTTTAAGGCTGAAAGTGAATTACAGAGAGCCTCTCTGGATGCAACTCGAACAAGTCGGCAGTTGGAGGAAACAATTGACAATTTTGAAAAACAAAAAATAAAAGATATCAAGGTGGGTATGTAATTCTGGTATGAAGGAGCAAAGTACTGCAGATAGTGGGGTTAGTAGACTGTTTCTGAAATACGAACAAGCAGGGTCTTAACACAAACCTCTCCATGCATTTAATGAATTTGCAAATGAGTGAGCCAAGTTCGTTAGCTTCCTTCATGTGAGGCTTCTAGAGAGGACATAATTCCTGGTTGTTTTTAAAATTACTGACATGTTCAAGTTTACTGTCAGAAAATAATTCAAACTGGGAGTTTTTAGATACTCCGTGCACGTCAGAAGCATAGCTTAGCCCCAGCAAATTGCCGTTTCTGTCAAAATATCTAGTTTACCCAGTGAAGAACAACACTGCCCAGATTTACTACTGAATTTGAACGTGCTAGAATTACAGAGTTCTAGTGCAATTAAAATCTGAGCAGATCATTAACATTAAAATTTACTAATTCAGCCAGTTATCTTAGTAAAGAAATGAAATGGGAACACAATACTTACATTAAGACAGATAATAGGATGAGGCTGGAAAAAGAAAAATGCTCAGGTGGTCCATGTTGTTACATTTCAAATGGGAAACCTTCAAACAAAGCCTAGAATTTTTCCCAGTTGAAGTCAGAAAAGGCCAAGTATCCGGTCAGCTGTTGAGGATCAAGTTGTGACTGCACTGACCTCTAGGCAGATAAAAAATCAGCCTATAAATAAGGTTCCAATTATACAAGGACTGTTACATATAGTAAACTCAACATTCGTCTTTTCAAGCATAGTGAATTATGCTTGTAGTTTTCATAGTGATGGCTGAGTTATTGCCACAATTGTCATAAAGCAAGATAGAGAAACATATATATAATATTCTTACCTTTACTTTTAGAACATATTTTCAGAATTCATTACAATTGAAATGTTATTTCATGGAAAAGCCTTAGAAATTTACACTGCTGCATTCCAAAATATACAAAATATTGATGAGAATGAAGACTTGGAGGTAAGAGACCAAATGCATTGTTGGTAAAGTTGTAGTCAATTGGTTTTGTAGCACATTTACAGTTTTATAAACTAGCTATTCCAACACAATTAATGTTAAATATTTTCTTAGATAACTGAAGATATTTAAAAATGCATGTCCTTCTGTTCAGCGTAAACAAAAATTTGTGATAGTGAATATAGTCTGTATATATTTTAACGCAGGCAAAAAATTAGACTGAATACGTAACAGAAAAGTTTCCCATTCTCACTCATTCTGACCATAAACACAGATGTAGTTTGAGAGTATGCTATCTTTTCAAACCAGATTTAGTGATAGAAAGCAATGGGTGGGAGTGAAATTTATACTTCCTCATTTTTCTCAAAAAAAGAATTCAGGTCTGAGGAAATACTTCAACTTAAACAAAAAGTTTTACAGTACTTAAAAGTGTAATGGGCCTCCCCAAATGATATGACAGAGAATGTGTTGAAATAATTTTTGCTGGTTTTAACTGTTAGCACTTCAACTGCTAATACTCAAAATATAGGGTTTTTTGTAGCATGAAAGGCAAGTAAATAAGCCTTTTTACCTAATTTGAAGAAATTCTTCTGTATCTAGAAGTTGGGATCTAACAACAAACCAGGCATAGGCAACATAAATTCAGCCAGAGCTGCTTTAATTGCTTTTAATAATGTAAAACAGAATGATTTTCAAAAAATAGATTTGTAGCTTTTCTCTTCAGTATTGAAGAGAAAATGGAAACTTCAATTATACAAGCTCTCCTGCTTGACCTGCACATACTAAACGACATCCAGATTTTAGTCCCATTTTCGATGACATGTTCAGTGACATTCCTACTTTCAGAAGAGATGAGGAGGTGGTATTAATCAACCTCCTCCCTTTTCAGCCATTTACATCCTAAGTCTTACTACTGTGTTTTACATCAGTCTGTTCAGATAGTCCTATTAACATGTGCTCCACTGGAAATATTCCAATAAATTATGTAGTGAATGTTTATATCATTTAAATCAATGTAGTACTTAGATTATCATTAGCAATTATCATACTTTCCTGAGAGACAATGTGCCTCAGAACTGCTGCATGCATTCCAAATCTCACTATCAACATTTAAGTTTTATTAACAGGTATTTCGGAGTTCACTTTATCCACCAGACCATCAATCCCGTTTGGATATTGTTCGTGCAAATTCCAAATCTCCCCTTCAGAGAACTGGTTCTTCCAGAACGTGTGCTGGAATAGTTCAGGTAAAAAAACAAACAAACCACCTTGAATATTTTTGTTACTAAGTTCTAGGAATGTTTTGACATACTTTTCCAATTAATTTATTACCTCTAACCAGAAACCTATTGCATATCAAATTATTTGAGTGCCCACTCCACTTGCCACTTCACTCAGGAAAAGTAATAGTTGAAAACAAACATATAAAACCTTTTATTTCTAAAAGCGAAAAAACATAGTTGTGTAAATCACTTATGAAAGCCTTATTATGGATAATGGTGGAACTTGTTTTTAAGGGGTTTTTGTTTTGTATTTGATCAGTACCATTTTCAAGTATAATTGAGCCTAGCATTTGTAATACAGCTGCATGTAAAATACAATATACAAGTTTTGGACTAGAAGCAGATTTTTAAAGCTTAAAAACTTACTTGCCAATTTATTGGCTGAAAATACTTCCATTTGTAAGCCATGAAACATATAGTCCAGAAAGGCAGTTTGTAGGATAGCCTGGCAATAGTGAATCCTTACATACATAGTCTTTACAAAAATAAAGGTTTTTTTTCCTTCAGTGAGTGCTTTTTTCAACTTTGGGATTTAATTAAGAGCTTACATTCTATGGTAGCAGATTTCTAGGAATCACCTAAAGGAAGAGGAGGCAGAGGAAGATGATGAAGAAGAAGAGGAAGATGAAGAATTAGAGACCACTAAGGAGGAAAGATAGCTCTTTCAACAACAAAATATTCCTCAAATTAAAAATGTTAATTGTATTTACACTTCATGTTAAGACATCATAAGGACAGCCATTAAAATTGCAGAAAAAACACATTACCTGACCACCTTATGATCTCTTAATAGTATAAAATGTAAAAAAAAAAAGTTGCTAAAATGGAATTCAGTAGATATTTTTTAAAAGTTGTGCCAATTATAATCACCATGAGGGATTCACCAAGTTTCCTTGTTTCTTTATATTTTTCAGAATAGATGTTATTCCCATTGATTATCTGCTAACACAGGGAGTGGAGTATATTTTCTTATTTATTAAACGATACAAGCAGTCAACCCCTAGTAACCAAATAAAGTGACTTTCATAACTTGTTCAGATGTATTATGGAATCCAGCAGCTGTCCAAAAATCTAAATTTGCTTTGACCTGTACACAAAGCTATAGTCCTAAAAAACAAGTACCAGAAAGATCTTGGTCATTAATCATTTCCAGCCTTATCTTCCAGCTTGCCATAGGACTGGAAAGATGTCAGTGAAGCCTGAATGTAATTTTGTCTGCCTATCCCAGACTCTTCCCCAGAATCTAGTCTTCAGTGTTTAACTGAATATGCATATTTGATTTGCAACAGAAGCAGTGTGACTCAGTATTAGACAGTTTACTAAGCAACTTCAGTCTGTTTGGCAAAAAACCCTTCAGTATTTTATGGTATAGGTTTAGGTTTTATTTTAGTCAAAATTCAAACTTGAATTTAGAAGAAAACGGAGATTTTCATAATCAGAATTTCTGCATTAACTATGTATTAGCAGTATTCTAACATCCACTCCTTTTGTTTTTAAGATTATTATAGGTTATTACATATTTTAAAAATAAAAATATATATTCTCACATGAAGTATTTATAATCCTCTGTCTCAGTGATTCTGAAACTGAAGCCCATAGCACAATAAGGTTTTCAAACTGTACAAAACAGTAAGTTTGAAACCAAAGAGAAAGAGAAGTAAGCATTTACCTCCCATCAACTGTAATGAAAATGCAGATGCACAAACACCTAAAACTGAACCATAATCTCTTTATCCCAGTAACTAAAGATCAGTTTACACCATACTGCCAAGAATGTATTATCTTGTAATACAGTGACTGAGCTTGCAAATCAGTATTTGATAAACTACATATCCATACTCAAAAAAAGAAATGGTTTTCTTTACTAGTTACACTTGAAAAACATTTCCCTAGCTCAGCTAATTAAGGCAATAAATACTGCAAGGATGTGTTGAAGGAATTGGAAATGTAGCATTTTCTGTTAAAATGTGAATATTAGTATTAAATTAGTTATAACATTGAAATGTTATTGGAATTCCACCAGATGGAAATTCAGAAAAATTGTGTTAACATTTCATGCAGGCTAAGAGTTCACACAGTATTGCAGATGCACAGCTCAAGTTATGTATTACCTGTTTTTTCACATCTCATCTGCACAGAAAACAATGCCAAAATCTTTGGCTTTAGTAGGAGTTAATAATTCAGTTCAAAGATCACCCAGGTGCCTAGATGACAGGAGCTCCATATGTCCAAGTCAAACACTATCTTTAAGAGAAAAACAGAACACTACTCAAAAGAGATTCCTGGTATATAAGAATTGCTGATTGAGGACAGTGTCATCTTATCCTCACCTATCCCAGATATAAGTATTTAATATTGTCTTTCACAATCTGATACCCTCCAGATGTGTTGTGTTTAATTCTCAAGCAAGCTAATTGACTAAAATTGATGTGAGTTGTAGTCTAATACATCTAGAAGACACATGGTTGGGAAAGACTTGTCTAATGCATACAAAGCCAAAGTAATCATCTCAAAATGATGCTCCAGCTGCAAATGCCCAGAATGAATAAAAAACACCCTTACAATAACATGTAGATCAACATAAAAATACTTCTGAAGTTTTCTTAAATACTGGATACAATTGCCAGTTCCTTTTTCCCTCCTACCCTAATACTTAAGAAAATGTGTTAAGGCTATTTTCTACCCAAGCAAAACAATGCTGCTGACAAATTTTGCTGACAAATTAATAGAAAATCTAGGCATGAACCAAGATTGTAGGGGTACACACATATAACAGTATGTCACATTCTTTGGGGTATACCATGCAATGTTAGACTGTGTCTGGTCCTATAAAACTTAGTTCATATAATCATTACCTATGTTCACATATGCCAAAATACAACATAGGTTCTTAATGGGATTGTAAGATACTACTGTCGTGAAAAAGCAATGCATCAGTGACCATCCACATATTTCAGTGTACGTATTTTTATTTTAAAAGAAATGCTGAGCTGACGTTAACGAAACCATTCACGATACCACTGAGTATTAACAATGGGCAAGAATCCTGTGGATTTAAGTTAATATATACAGGGATGACACAACCTATGCTTTTGAATGACTTTGAAAATACAATGTTTTACATCAAACAATATATTTAGATGAACTGCCAATATACATGCAAGCAGTGTGATGAAAACTAAATACATGTTGTCAAGTTTCATATTTCAGCTAGGCATATTTTGAAGAGAACTTGTCAGAACTATCAGGCTGATCCACCTTTTAAAAAAATATTAATTCAATTAAAAATGCTGCAATTTTAAAATAAGACTTAACTTTTTATAACGTTTAACATTTTGGGGTATCTTCATTTTCCAAGTAAAAAATGTGAATTGTAATGAATTAATACTGTATATTTATTTAACCTCATTTTCACCTATGCCAAACTTAACCTAACTTTGCGCTGGCCAATTGGCCTATCATTCAGTTCATTAATAGCAGCTTCTGCCTCTTTGTAATTTACTAGAGCAATGATTGCTTCACCAGAAGACATTCCATATTCATTGTGCTGAACAGAAAGAGATTCTGGTATGATTTTATAGCCATGGAAAAAATCCAAAATTTCATTAGGAGAAGCTCGAAATGGTATATTTTTTAATTTGATCAATGTTACACAATCTGAGCCACCACCAAAATTAGAATCAGGCATAAAACGCCTATCAGGAAAATTTCCAGAAATACCTTCACCAAATTCTGTAAATGGGGGAGGACCTCTAAAATTATCAGGTGAACAGATGAAATCATCAGAAAGGCATCTATAATCAGATGGATGTTTTACATCTCCCTGCACAGAGGGTCCCTGTGAATCAACAGAGTAAAAGTTTTCCTCTCTTTCGCATGTATGGTGATGCCCTTGCATTTTTTCATTAGATGCTGATGAAACATTAATACCAAATTCTTGCATTTGCTCCTCGGGTATACATCTTAAGAGTACCTCTGTCCCCAAAAAGCGTCGGCGATTTAAGCTTTCAGCTTTTCGGGCTTGATCTTCAGTTCTGAATTTGACCAGTGCTTCTCCCAGTCCAACTCCTTTGTCATCAAAAAGCAAATAAATGTCATTGTCATCAATATTAAATCCTGCAAAGAATTTCTGTACTTCAACATTTGTCACATCAAATGGAAAATTTCTTACATAAACACATGTCTTTGAGCCAGAATAGCCATCTTGATTATTTTTATCCTTTACATGGTGATGTCTTTCTGGTGACCTTTTGACTTCCGAAGACCCAATTAATTCTAGCACTGTTCTTTTGGAAACAGGGAAAATGTAAACTTGTCGACCAAAAAGATCAAGCTTGTGATAACTAAGTGCGGATGTATATGCTCTCTCTGATCTGAACGTAATAACTGCATCCTTGCTCCTTGCCTCATTATCATGTGATTTTAGGAAAGTAATGTCCTTGTTCATTAAGGTTGGCTCCTCAAAGAACACCTGCAAGTCTCTCTTCTCAACAGCAGCAGACAAATTTTTAACATGTATACAATATTCCTTGCTCTGAGGTGAATGGGACTGGGTTGAACCAGAGAAAGGTGAACGAGAGTGGGTTTTGACCCTCCTTGGAGACCGTGAATGGGTGCTTGCTGTGATCCTCTTTGGAGAATTTGAATGCATACATGCCGTGACCCTCCGTGGAGACCTTGAACCATTGCGTGCCATGACCCTCCGTGGAGGAGACCTTGAACCAGTGTGTGCCATAACCCTCCGTGGAGATCTTGAATAGGCGCGTGCCATAATTCTCCGTGAAGGAGACCTTGAATAGCTGCGTTCCATAATCCTCCATGAAGGAGACCTTGAGTGAGCATGTGACATTACTCTTCGTGGTGGAGTCCTGGATCGGCTACGTTTTCTTGAAGGCAAATAGCTTGGCTCTCTTTTTGAATATTCTCTGCTTGAAGAATAATTTCCTTTATTCAAATTATGTTCAAAGTGGAAAGAATGATCTATCTTCTCATCTATCCTTCCACCATATTTAATCCATGCTCCTTCATTAGAGGGCCGTACTTCTATAAACCGTGCACCCATATAATTCCTATCACGCTGCAGTCCTTTCATGGCATCACTTAATGTAGCAAATTTGACCACGCCATCCCCATTATTTTGACCATTGGTTTTTAACATAAGTATCCTCTCCACTTGTAATCCAGAGAAGAAATTGAGCACATCATCTTCTGTTGAAGAATAAGGCATACCACGTATGAATAAGTATAACCTATCAGATTTAAATGATTCTTTCCTAGGCTGATTAAAATTTGATTTTGAAATGTTTATATTACTGTTTCGAGAGCCACTGGAATGAAACTCATCCTCCAAAGGAACCCTGGAATCATAGCTAGATTTACCAATTCCTTTTTTAATAGCTGCAACTAAATTTGAAAGGCTGCCAACACCAGATGGTCCTGAATTATTAGAACCTGTCCGCCTAGATCCTGTTTCTCTTCCACCACGATCAAATCTTTTCCTATTAATTTCTATTATGTTCTGCATTTCTGTCTTGCTACTGAGAAAAAACTGTATACGTGAATCCTTGATAAATCCTCCTGAGTAGCTCATTGCTTGTCTGGCATCTTCATCTGTTGCAAATATAATAAAAGCTTCCCCCTTTTCTCCTCCAATAATATGTACACCTCCATCAGGAATATTCAATCCTGAGAAGAAACGGCGAATATCTGCAGGACCCGCAACAAGAGGAAGTCCCTGTAAACGGATGACTACAGCCATTTTGAGCTCAACCCACAGCAATAATCACCTGTGGACAAAAAGGCATACATGATAACAAGCCTTTAGTATACTGGAAGAATGCTGGGCCTAAGCTACACCATTTAAAACAAAAAAAGTCCTTCCATTACTGAAAGAATAACTCCTACATTTCAAATCACACAGAACCTAGTTTAATCTGAATGTTTACAAACACTAGCCAATCTGAAATATTTGGACAGTTCCCAATAATCTCAATCATAAAAGCACCAATGTCATTCATAAAATCTATGATAAAAGCTATCACAGCTTTCACAGCATCTTATAAAATCCAGTGGAAAAAAACCTGATCTTGTTTTTCTGCTATCTGATATCAAAAAATTATTTGTGATCAAAAAGATGTTATACCACTCCCAAGAAATAATGAAGTTTAGACATTCTCTGTTAGGCCAGCTCATCTCATAATGAAGCAAATTCAGTAATCTTTTCCCCCATGTTTATTCTTTCCCATAATTAGATAGCCAACTGCACATCTTCCTTTCCAGTCATCAGCCTGGAAGAAAAAGCCATCAAATCTGACAATACAAATATTAAGCTTTCAGAAGCTTACCTGGTTCTTCTTGAAGGCCTGATAAAGGCTGTGAAATCAACTTAACTGTGGAAAGAAAATGAAACAAAATTAATGGCTAAGAAGCAGATTTACATTTTATGCCACATTGAGTGGAATATCCAGAACCATGGTGAACATTAACAACCCAGTAAGAAATAAAAAATAATGGAAGTTGTTCAGCTCCTTTCCTATTCCAAAGATGTACCAAAAAAACAGGAATTGTGAATTTTAACTGTATAGTATCTTGTTTTTCACATGTTTTGAGAGAGGTTCATTATGCTCTCTACTTAAAACTGATGTCAGCAACAATATGAAATCAATCTTCAAAATTTAGATTCTGGTAAAAAAATCCGATAGCAAAACATATTTTTCCTCAATGTCCTCAGTCCTTGAAAGTTCCACACAAAAAAGTGCAAGCGTCCAGTTCTTCTAACATCCTTTTTCTTTTAAAGAAGGTAGCGGAATGTTCAGTAACTGAATAAGTGACCAAATTAAAGAAACATATTCCAACATCAGAAATTCCAAGAAAATGATATACCAACTTCCCCATGCTTGCTGTGCCAATATGAATCCAGAGGAATCCAATGTAATGCTATAATAGCTTTGCATTTATAAGATCAGTATCTCGCAAAAGTAAAAGTACACACGTTACGACTACATCCAGAAATAGATTTACGCAGCCCTTGTAATATCCATATTTTACAAGTTCCAGCGAAAGGAAATAACAGAAAACTGCAGTACAAACCTCTGTAAGCTTACAGAGGTACGTCCTATTAAACTCATTAAAGCCTATTCACAAATGTATGCACAGAACTGCAGTTTCAGCATTAAAGACCTATTACAGTATCTAATAAATTGAAGGAAATACATTCAATTTAATGTTCTATTAATTGAATATTAATACCAGAACCCAAATCACATGTATCTTGTGTACCAAAAAAACCCTAAAGGCTGCAAACAATTATAAAATACATTATACTAAACATTCAAATCCGTTATTATGCTTAGAACCAAGCTACCTTCTCGGACCCTTATAAAAGTATGGCACACGCATCTGGATAGAATTTCTTTTTAACGATCTTACGTAATTTGTGAGATCCAATCCATTTGTTTTGTATAAGCAGTATCTACATTTCACTGAAAACGATGGCAACTAATCTTAATGGACTTGAATAACAACTCATTCAAAAAGCTCACGTCAACAATTTATAGTTTTGCATGCAATGCTAGGTAACCAGCTACAACTGTCAGTAACATACTTGGGCAACTCAACTTTTTTCCCTGAATGCAAATGAATAAAAAGCAACTACATCCAGCAAAGAAAGACTGATAGCATTACGTCCTGTCCTTCATTTTCAACAGAGCAACAAAGCAATGAAAAAGTCTTCAGGAACTCCAACTGATGTTAAATTAACAATTATTAAAATATCAATTCCTGATTGTTAAGTACAGCCAAGACACACATGCATTAATCTGTTAACAGGAGAAAAAACATATAGCAGACAAGAAGTTCAATAATTCAACACAACTTACTTCTGAGCAGACACTATAGCAGTCCTACCACTAAGCTTTAAAACCAGGTGAATAGTTAACCAACTGCAAAAAAAGAAAAGAAAAACCTCTATGGACCAGATCATCTAATATGTAGAATCATATTATACAATTCTGTACAGAGGATGAATATCAGATGAAGTGGTATATTCATAACATGTTTTTCGCAGTTAAAATGACCACTGTGCATTTTATTCTTGCATAATCCATTCATGATATTGACTTCTGTTAAAGCAGGCACACGCATTCCTATCCATGCTGGAGTAGTGCTTGGTTTACTCTTTCCCAGGAAGTTATCTGTTGCAAAGAGGAATCTATCCCTCCTAGAGAATGCAGAGTGTAGCAGAACTCTGGAATATCAGGCATGACTTCCGTAATTATAATCCTGGCAGAAAAATAACATTGTCAAAAGACAAGATGAGGAGAAAACGCATGTCTTCTCTAGCAATTAACAATACTCATTCCTTTCCAAAGACAACGCTGGCTAAGATGGGATCAGAAACACCCACTTAGATGGAAATCAATCGGTAGAACAAGCTGTGAGTCCGGAGTTTTCTTCATCTTGTACAGCTTCTATATACAAATCCCAATATCATCCAATTCGCTCCTCGGGAAAACGTTCGGAATGATCCAATGCGCTCAGAAAAGTGCCATTAAACCAACGAATGAAATGCACGAGGTACAAGAACTTCCGTAGCTTGTTCAAACCTGAAACGACCTTCCGACACAGAATCAGTGCGACCATTCCCAAGCACACCAAACAGCGAGATGTCCTTCCTCCCACCCCCGTCCTAAGAGGAAAAGAAAGCTTTCGGCGAGCTGTTTAAATGTTCCAATATTTTAGTAGCACATTGAACAGCAAACGTATCG